AAAGGACTGTTAATAATAACCCTCATGTAATTTCAGTACCCTAAAACTTCTAGTCATTGTTTAATGAAACAGTTTTCAGTGCATTAAAAAAATTAATAGGGTAAGCTGTGATAGATTAGGGTTGGGGACAGGGACAGGGATTTGTTCTGAGGCAAACATGTTTATGATGAGTTCCCTAGTCTGATGCTAGGGAACAAAAGGCTCATTCTTCAGTTCCCAGAATGAGCATTAACAGTAAACAGCCTGCTTGGTATTGTCCTGCAGCATCAGATAATTTTTCATCCAGGCTTTTCATAGGATGGTGTGTTCCACCATACAGGTGTATGTATTCCAGTGGTGAGCAAAACACCTATCATTTATATGTAACTGTGAAAATGGCCTTTGACAAATGAAAGGCCACAAAAATATGACCTGTTATCCTACTGGTCAGCTATCAGAGCGATCACTGGTATTTGAGTTTGCCTGCAGAAATCATTTTATTGATAAGCCGCCCTTGTCTATCTCTGGCTCTTTCTGTGTGGCTTTCAGCTGTCATGAGTGTCCAGGTGCAGTAATCCACCAAAGGTGATTCTCCCTGGAAGCATCCCCGTGAAAGGAGTGTATTTATGATACCACTTTTTCCTTTTTGTAATATTTCCATTGTCATCCAGTTCTCTTGCAGTAGGATACCATGGCTATTCAGGAAGAGAAGTATTGCATTTGGATTCTATAGACATTTTTTAAAGCATACTGCCCCCAAATGAAAAGCAGATTTCCCTTTGTTTTTTGGGTCAGCATGTTAAAAAAATTATGGAATAGATCAGCAAAAATATTGGACTTAACATTGTAAGTTACTTACATTTTCTCCTTAGATTAGTTTTTCGGGGGCAACAGAAGGAGCAAGTGAATCCATTATTGATTGTCATTTGGTGCCATTTTAATAATGAAATTTAAATATAGACTAGCAGTAGGGTGGGCTCAATTTGGACAGGACACGTGTTGACTTTCAGGGTTGTTTGCTCACTGTAGACACTGACTTGTTTTAAAGAAGGGCCTGCGTGTTGATCTCCTTTGTCTCCAGAAGGATTGATTGACGGATGTTGTGTCTGCTCATTTACAGCGTTTTTCTTGTTTAATTTAAAAAATTGTGACATAGTATTACATGTTCCTTGTATACATCATTTTTGCAGAAGAAAGTTGTTTAGCCAATATGTCGACTCCGCTTATGAAATCCTCTCTGTGGCTTTCAGTCAGCCCTCAGTGTACTTCATTAGGTTATATCATTCATTTCCTGCACAGAAATCGTCACCAGCAGCAAAATTTAACATTTGGTCCTTTTAGGTATAAAAATGAATCAAATGTCTGACAAGATTTGTTTCTGGTGTATATTTCAGACCCCCCTCCCCCATTTATGGGCATACGACAAATGTTACTAACGGGTACTTTTAGTTTTTAAAATATGGACAACAGTACTCCATGCAGTAAAAGACTTGAGCGATTAATGCTACCCTTATGCCTCTTTTGAGTAGTTTTAGCCATAGGGCTTGGCACTGCCACCATTGTCTTTGTGCCAAAAAATATCCGCAGCGGCTGTCGCATTCTAGTACTGGGGGGTTGTCTCGAAAATTCCGCAGTGAACGCACCGGGTTTGTTCATCACTGCTATCTCTTTTAAATATTGCAAAAATAGAATCTTTAGTTCTTTCAAAGCGCCCGTTGTGGTTGTAGGGATGTGGGGGGAGGTGGATGGTGAAGAACAAGGCTGTCCTCACCAGCCAGTTGGTATAAGTGACAAAAATCCATGACTGACAAACATAGAGTAAATGCAGATATTTAGGATCTTTTGTGTTCCTGAGCACGGATAGTTACTTAAGGATCCTACTCAAACATGTTATCCGCATTCTTGAAAATGTTATTATCTGAAATAAATGTTCCAGTGAATTTTAAGCAGAAAATCAACATCAAGACCATAGCTAATTCTTAATGGACAATTTACACAAAAGATATATATATGTGTATATATATACACACATATACGTATACATACATATATACATGTCCCCCTTGGAACCAGAGGTGTCATTTTAAAATGGCTGCTTTTTATCATTTAAAAAATGATAGGAATGAAAATTTTATGTTTGAGAAGTTCTTGAGTTTTGGTCCACAATTCCTGATTATTTTGCTCCCAAACAGGGGTCTGGGTTCTGAGAGCAGTTTATAGTTGAATTTGGGAACAAAAAGCTATAATAAAGTTAAAAGCTTACACTATCAGAATGAATTGTATTCGCTCCTGATCTCCGGAGCGATCTATTTGATGGTGAAAGTGGATGCTACAGATGAAATCTTCACAAGGAGCATAATCCTTGGGAAAAAAAAAAGTCCACCTCCCAGCCTCCTGCTGGCTGCACTGCCTCTTTGGTACCTCGCAGACTTCGACAGAGTCCTGGACGGGTGCCCATTGATGTCATGGAAACACTCACATTACTGAGAATGATTCATGTCTATGCTGGTCTCTTATCCTCCCCCACACAAACAGGAGTAGATTTTTAACCCTGACAACTTGTAATTTGCAGTGGGTTTATTTTTGTATCTGGATAAATATTTTTTAACAAGCAAAATTAAGATTAAGCAGTCTGTATCTGATATGCTAGTAAAGAATGCTGGGCCCCTGTAGCCAAGCGTACTTTGGGACTCATGCAGCATGATTTCATATTCTTCTCTCCTCTCTTCTGCCCTGCCTCTCCCTTTGTACCTCCTTGCTCTTTCTCTTCCATTCCTCCTCTCTCTCGTTCTCCTCTACCTATTCTCTTTCTCTGTTTCTCTTTTTAAAAACCTGTTTGCATTGCCCTTCTGGTTTTAAAATAATAGAAGAAATGCCCCCAACTTATTTATATGAAGTGAGAAAGATCCTGGCAGGAAAATCCTTCTCTTCAGTTCTGTGTTGGAGTTGGGTTTAGAAAATAATACCGGTGCTAAAATTCTATAGGAGGTCACTTCAGCACTGACTTCTGTAGGAAAAATAAAATGATAGCTTCTCTTTCTCGAACTGTATTTTGCCTTTTCTGAGTTAATTTTTTTAAATTCTCATAGCAGGACACTAGATGTTCAGTTATCTGCCGAGTCATAAGTAGATATTTCTGTTTCTTTCTTTCTCTTTATCTGCCTATCTGCCTGTCTGTAGAATATCGTATCAAAATGAATTAGGCCATGATTATACTCAAACATTTTTAGATACAAGAGTTTAAGAGATTCATGTCCTTTGATATATCTCATAGAGTTAAAGCTTTTTCTGTTAGCGATATTTATAAGGAGCACTTAGAGGGTAGGGGTAGCTTAAACTTGACTTACAAGGATGAGAGAGAGGGAGAGAGAAAGAGAGAGAGAGAGAGAGAGAGAGAGAGAGAGAGAGAGAGAGAGAGAGAGAGATAGCCCATTGCACTGCTAATACAGGTATGTGCACCTGCTCAGTGCACAATCCTCATTCAATGGAAATTACCTTCTTAGATATCCCTTGATGGACAGTCGGTGTGATGGTGTCTTGTTTCACTGGAATTGAATCTGATACACACATTGATTTTACACTTTGCACTGAACACTGTATCAGAAGTGGAGGGAGGAGATGTTTTCCCAAGTTCAAGCCACATTAAAATCAGTAAAAAACGTAAATACTGGCAAGAAAGGGATAATTTTAAGATTCAAGCTTGGCTTTCTTTGAAAATCACCTTCTACCTGTGTGTGTGTGTGTGTGTGTGTGACTTAGACACAAGGTGCATTTTTGACTAGATGTAAGAATTTTGAAAGATACGTTCTTTGTGTCTTGTCAGAAAGGCATGCTCTAATAGCATTGCCATTTAACTAAAATATAAAGAAACTACTGTACTATTACTTTTAGCAGGTGTTAACTTTGGCTGAGAGGGGGAAATGTCGGGGTGGTAGACTTTAAGAGGATGTTAATTCAGTCCCTCAAAATACAAGTTTTGTAATTTTCCCATCAGGAAAATGGAATAGTAGAGTTCTGTGCATAAAGCCCAATGCACCTTAAATCTGTAGTCATGAAGAAAGAAGTATTCTTCAGTCTCAGGTGGGCTCCCTCAGTAGCTCCTTGTCACCCCCTGCTGTGGGCAGTTTCTCTGTAGCTTCTTCATAAATCACCAGCTGGCTTCTACTGCTTAGATCTCTTGTGATGTGATTTTTATTATTTTTCCCTACTGATTATTAAGGCTAAACATACTTTGTAAGAAATAAATGAGAAGTCTTGATTTTTATCCTTACCTGTTGTGAAATAATAGCAGAAGCTCTATATATGGTCAGTAGTAGAGCAGTCCACAGATGAAATTTGGGTTGTTATGACTGGGATTAGACATTCATATTCCATGATCCCACTGCCTTCTGGGTGTCCTGGTGAATCTGAACTTGGGTTCATAGTGGATGATTTTTCAAAAACTCTCTTTCTCAAATGTAAGCCCCATCATCATCTTGATCATGATGGGATTTACTCTTGGGGCAGGGAGTTTAAAAAAGAAAGAAAGAGAGAGACTCAGAATTTTGAATCTTTTTTTTTTTTCCTGAATTCACCATCTGGAAAGCCTGTGATTGATTAGCTTTGGCCTCCCCATTAAGTGTCAATATAATCAATGGGAATTACTAAGCGAGGGTCATTACATATATAATTTGCCTGCTGTGTAAATAAAAATGAAATTGTTTAAATTTTGTGAGAGAGAAAGAAAGTGAAAATAAGGAATGACAATTTGTTTGTTAGAGAAAGTGGAGGCCATTGGAATGACAGTTTTTGGAAGTGTGGAGCAGTTTGGCTAAGAATAGGAATGAAGGATATTTTTTTCCAGTTTATCATCGCCAGAGTGAGGAAGTGTTATTCCCTCTCTTGCTTGCATACACTGCCAGTAGTGCCTACTTTACGTATGTAAACATCGGGGAAGAGAAGTAGATGTCTGTTACCTGAAGGAGAATTTTTTTAAAAAGGAAAAGCACAATTTATACCTTTTTTGTTGTTTCTCTTGGCAGGTAAAACAGAAAGGGGCTCATACTCATCTTATGGGAGAGAATCAAACCTACAGGGTTGTCACCAGGTAAGTGTGAACCTTGGCTGGGGAAGGGTTGAGAGATTGAATCTGAGAAATCGATGTGTTTTGTAAATTTTGATTGTGCATTTTCAACGGTGACACTAGGAGACCCTGAAATTCTGCTGGTGACTGTCTTTAAGTAATGAAATAACACAGAGCTTAGAACTAATAAACACCTCATCTTTAGATCTCTGCCGGATCAGAACTACACCCACTGGCTTGTTTTTATTTTTTAATCCATCAGCCGGTACCACTGGCACACATTGTTTGCAAACCAGCAATGTCGGGTTCTATCAAAGGAGTTTATTTACAATTAAGAACATAAGAATTTCTTACACAGAAAATCCTTTATGGAGCCATGTGTCAGCCCCTGGGTTCAGTGGCTATTGCCCTAAAATATAGTTTTCATAGGGACTGTGTGATGTTGTGTGAAAACAGGGTGGTATTGAGGGATAAAAATGTCTGTGAAAATATGATTTGTTGTCCCTTTTTGTTTCTGAATTGTTTTTGGCTGGAAGTCAAGGCCAGCAGGCTAACAGTAAAGCCGTCTCAAGGGAAGCATGCGTGAGCTAGAAAAATAAGAGTACTTTAATTAAATAATAAAATGCCAGTGTAATACAAAGGTATAGCATGTGTGTGTTTGCGTCTCCGTACACTATGCATTTGTATACTTCTAACTCTCCAGAGAGAACCCATTTCTAAAAATACTACCAATAGGTAAAAGTGGAAGCTTTGTTTCAAGACAATTGAGGTTTTATAGATGCTTTCTTTTTAATTTCAATGTGGATATTAATCATACACTTAAATTTGTAAGATTTATACTTTTTATAAGAGCTTTGATTTCTTACTTTAGGAAACTCTTGACATAATTTAATAATACTCAAACATTCAAAGATCTCTACTGTTTCATTATTCACCCAAACAAAATGTACATTCTTTCTGTGCTGGAAAAAGGATACTCACTCTTTTGAATTCTTTCACCCTTTTAGTTTTTTTAATAATATGGGGGAAAAATCCATTTGAGATGTTAAAAACAGCCTGTTTAATGTATCTCTATGAAATGTAACCACACATGCATTTTAGTAATGAAATGGAGCATCTGAAGGAAGTTTCTTTTACATGTCATTCATCCATCGTGAGAGGTAGAATTCTGGTGGGTTGGTTTCTTTTTTTCCCTTCCCCTTACACATTTGCATTTTTAAAGTTGACTCCTTTGGCCCAGTTGCCAATTCAGTCATATTCAGCATCTAAAAGATTTGTTGCAATGAGGTGAACAGTGCTTAGTTAAGATCTCCTGCCGGAGTGCAGTTCATGGCAGTTTGTTTGGAAAGAATTCTGCAGGAAAGAAATTTACAACCATTCCAGCGCAGCGGAAACATCTTTGGAATGTGAGTGCACATGTTCAGGGCAGATAGTCTGGGCGACAAGCCTCTCAGGGCTGGGTCTCTGGTGTAAAGCTCTCAATTCCTGCAGAAGAGCCGGTTCCTGTGGATCTGGTTTCTGAGGGTCAAGGCAGAGGTCACTAGAGTTTTGGGGAGAAGAAAGTTGACAACATCCTTCCTTTTGCAGATGGTCATGGCAGAGGTCTCTTGTTTTGCTGGGCCCCTTTTGCTGGTCATTGAGAGTATAGGCTTCCTCGCCCCTGTATCCTTTCTTACTAATAGGAATTGGCGTGATTCCTCACAGACACAAAGATTTCCTCTGCTGAGTAAGCGTGAGGCCCCTTAACTTGTGAAAGCATCATCCAGACCGTGTGAGTCTGTCTGTGTGTGCAGAACACAGACCTTCCTCCCTCCGTTTGTGGGAAATACTTCCCTCGGGTGAAACTGAGGTTTTTTAATTTTTAATCTTATTTTTTATCTTTGCTAACACAAGGTGAGAAGTGGAGAGGGGCTGAGGGGGAATAGAGATGGCTGGCTGGCATGCGATGGCTGAATTTCTGGGCCTTGGAAGGTTCCTTTGGAGACACTGGTGTCCAGGAAAATTCTTCTGTATGAGAAGTATATGATTGTATCTGCGTTTCTTAAAATGCCTTCAGAATCTAGCTGTGGAGTATGGAGATTCCTTCTCTCTTATTTGTGCTACATGTCTGTGAGTCTTTCAAGGACTGTCTCTGTGCTCAGCATGGGCCCAAGAGTATCCACAAACAAGGTGATTACTTAAGGATAATAAAAGGGAAATGTTGGAAATTGCCTGTGTGGGGAACCAGGGCCTAAGGATGAGAAGTGTACATACTATTCATTTTTGCTTTCTGTGAAATTTGCGAATAGAACAGACCATAGTGTATCTTCTAGTGAATCAGTATCTTTTGAGCTGTATTGTTCTTTGAATCCCTGTCTCCTACACCAACTATACAAACCAAAAAAGAAAGGTGAAAAATCTCAGTATCTTGGGCTTCATGTCTAAAGAACAGGTCACAGCTGAAATGATCCCCCACTGTATGACAAGGTGAGTGACTCCTGGGGTAGGAGCTTTTGTTTTCTCCTGTTTCCTCCATTATTAAGAATCTGAACAGAAAACCTTTAGAGGATGTGCCCTGAGGAGCTGGCCTTTTTGTACTATACCAGTGTGTCCTGTGAACTTAGAGGGATCAGCAGTGTTGAAAGGGAACATGCTTATTTCAGTACCGGTGGCTTTTGTTTGGTATAAAGAAATGGTGGTAAGCAACAGGTACTAGAACACTGTCTTGGAGGGATTATTACTGGGAGATATCTATTGTTTCAAAGCCCCATCAGATTACTATAAATATATATATATACATATATATAAAATTTTTTCTGAAGGATATAATGTTAAGCCATTTTTGAAAAATGGATATTTTAGCAGAAAAACAAAATTTGGCAGGTTCTTTATCATCAATTAAGTTATTTTCAGTAAAACTATGAGTAATAATTTAAATTCATTAATGTATTTCCATGTGAAATTATGAGAAATAAATGTGGTCACTTTTTGAGACTTTTGAAATTTTATGGAAAATAAACCAGTGAAATAAACCATTAGGCAAAAAAGCGACTGAATAGACCTTTTTAAAGTTTACACTAAATATGGAAAGAAAAATTTAAATCAAATTGGTGTATGGAAATTATACCCCGGCTTAAAACTTTCTTGCCAAATTGCAACCTCATACTACTTTAACAGGCAGAGAAAATAAAACTTATAATGGAAAGTGTGACAGAAACGAAAATGAGTGGAAATAAACTTTTTCACATAATAGCCTGACCGTAATCCTATAATACCAAATACCTAATTCCTTATAGGTATCTTTGCAAATGACAGAAGGGACAAACTGTCATTTGCTGTGAACTCTTTCCTGCTTTGAGTAGGACGTTTAGCGGTTTGCAAACTTTTACTTTGCTGAAATCTCCTGTTTTTGAATTAGAGATGAGGTCAACTCAAATGACCATTATTTGGGCAGAAGTTTTCCCTTGCATGCAGGTTCAGCGTTGATCAGGAATTGTTTGTCTTTTCTTCCTGGGACACAGCCTGAGTCCAAAGCCATCGTTTCTTTATTAGCATTTTCTGAGCAGATCGGATATGAGTGAGAGGGATTGATTCACAGAAAGCTGGATCCTGAGACCAATCAAATTAGAAACTTAGGAGTAGGCTTGTGTTTTTCTGATAGCTCCCCAGGTGATCCTAATGTGCAGCTAGGTTTGATCATTTCTGAGAACGTTCTTTAGAAATATATTTTATATGACTTGTGTTCAAAATCTGGCATTACTGCTGACCTTGATAAAGCTTTTAGTCTTTTTACCTTAATTGGATTTTTCAGGACATGGAAATATTGCATGTGACCTTCATTTAAAAGGCAGTGAAAATCTGTGATTTCTTGAAAATCAGTAAGATGCCTTGAAATCTGTGTACAGAATTCTACCACTGAATGTCCCAGCCCATATCCTGTTTTCTTTGGTGAAGACCTAGCTTTATCCTCATCTAAATTCATTTGCTTGCTCAGCAAATAATCAAGTAGGGCTATGCTGATAAAGTTATTTGATGTTTAGATCTTAAAACTGATGGGTAGAATTTAAGAAGTAGGCCTCATCTAGTAGTATATTGTTTTTAAATTCCCCAAACTTTGAAGCTATAGAGGAAATGGATCTTCTCTATATCTAATGAGCTGTTAATAAACCTACTCATTTTTTTATTAAAGTTAAACATATGGCTGATTCTGAAGTGAATTACACATGTAAGAATTGATTTCTTTTAATTATTCTTATTTTTAATATAGAAGGTTTTACAAATGACTTAATTATAAAATTTCTTTCCTCTTAAAGATTTTTATCTGAATTAAATATAGGATATAAGAAAAAATCGCAAAATTCTTTTGTCTGTTATGAAAATGGCTATTTTGGACGTGTGTAAGCAGAAATATAGACTGCTTTTTAATTTGATATTGTGCATAAATATTTGTTCTCCGTGTTGAGTAATTCAGTCCAGGTTCTATGCATTCTTCCTTAGAACCTCTTCTATGCAGAGCCTCTGCTATACCCTGCCCTAGGTCTCTGCTTTCCCTTTGGAGTGCTTTCTCAAATGTACCATTATTTATGTTTGTTGGATGCTTGTTTCCACCAGGATTCTGTAAACTCCTGGAGCGCAAGGGCCGCCGTATCTGCATTATTTCACACCAGAGTACCCTGTGCCCTGTAGGGTAATAATTGTGATCTATTGTTTATTTCCATAGCATCACTTTTGGAAAACATTTTGAAAGAGTGAAGTTTAAGTAACAGTGTATGTGAACCAAATAGTGAGCAATTTTTTAGGATTAGGGAAATTGGAAAATATTACTCACTTTGGAACTCTTTCCTCCTCACCTGCTCTGCAGGCCTTGGAAGGGCACAGGGCTCATGCTCTGGAGAGATCTTCCTTGCAGCTTCCTCTGAGCAGAGTATCTACCTGCTGGTGTCACTGTGCTAGGCCTGTGCGTGTGGACAGATGTAGATAGAGGAACTGTAGATCTTTGGTTTTGCTTCTGGTAGGCTTGTTATTGGAACCAAAGTTCAGAATTC